ATAGCGGGTTATAACTCGTCAAGGAGCAGTCTGCAAGTAAAGGATAAGTACTTATTTAATTCAATTCAGATTTTCCCGTCGACTGATTGGACCGAAGTTCTCGGGCTCAGGTTGACATGTCGGCTCCTTGCGCAGATTCTTTGACGATTTCCGGTCATGTAACCTGAAGTCAATTGGTGGATGGTGACTAGCAGTGCGAAATGTGGATCTTGGGTTCTACTGCTTGTTACCGTGTACTTATATTTACTCTTTCTACAGTTAACAGGCACCTGATTTCAAGTTTATTATTTTCTCATATATTATGTTATATAGTGCGACACAGTTGTCTTTATCTGCCTTTCTTAGCATTCTATGCAACATAATGTTATTGTTACTCTAAATAATCTTCACCAATGTATTTATGGTGTGACTTGTTGATCAAGTAAATATTTTATCTTTATCTTCTAATTAACATTTTTCATAATAACAAAAGAGTGATGTGAAACAAAGTTTGTTCAGTATACATTTACATAAATAAACACACAAACACACACGCGCGCAAAGGCAAACATCTACATCTACAAGTGTTTGTAATTTTCATTTCCTTTTTCGAGTGGAACAAAGTTTTACAAGCTTCATGCTATAAAGTTTCAGTTTCCGGACTTACTATCAGCTTGTAAACTTACGGAGAGGCTTAGGAATGCTTCGTCTGGAAATTGAATCTGCATGGCAGACAAGAGTTCTGCGATTGGACCACTTACACATGTAGTCTTTATAACTGGGTAAATATTGTAAACCAAGAAACATAGAACAGTAGTTTTACAGAATATCATTAAATGTCTTCATGCTATAAAACATGTTTGCCTATCATACCAACTCGAGGCTCCATCAGTAGAGTATCCACTTTGACAGTTACCTGAAAAATTCAATTAAAGATTATCTCTCAAGTCAGGATGAGAAAAAAAGATCATACTTAAGTGCTTTAAAGTTCTTGTCCCTCACTATCGGATTATCACAGTCCTATATGATGGACATAGTTAATAGGCCATTAAAACAAAAAGGAGAAGATAAGAAGTACTGACAGCAAACATCATACAGCCTGACAGAGTGTTAGATAGTAAAACGGATCCAGAAACATTGTTTGGCAGTGAAACACAGACCTTTTAATCACTGGGATAAGATCGAGTGACCAGTCGACATATTCTAACTTCTGTCAGTCCGCTTGTTTATTTGTTGAAATCGGCCATGCCAATCAAATTACAGTGTAGAAAAAACAAAATAATTGAGCGAAGAATATCCTTTTCAATAATTTCCTCTTCCGGCTCTACAATTATATATAAATATATGTTTATATACATAGAATATTATAAAGTAGTAGTCAATAACAATATTGGTGTTTATTAAATAATATCGATTTGTTCAGTAAGATCAATGGAATTACGGTTCATTAAAGATGCATAAATTATAATAACAATAATATAATAGCAAATAGAATATCAACTAAAATCAAGGAAATTTCTACAAAAAACTGAGAGTCTTTAGAACCTAGATGGCCAAGGTAAAGACAATGTCTGAAACAGCTTCTTTTGGACACATAAGTTAGGCTTCTTAATGTGGGTCCCAACGGCCTCAGCAATTACAGTGACTGATTCAAGAAGACAAATACATCGACCCAAATGTTCAAAACTTAGGGAAGCAACCATAGTCTCACTAAAAATATATATTATAGAAACCTATAGGAAATAACTAGGAAAGGCTTCTCCTAAAAGCAGAGATTCCCAATTTTCCAACTGCACTGATAATGATGAATACATGTGAAAAACCTGGACACTGCGTTAGTATGTAATCCCATACTAATCTTTTTATTAGATATATCACACAGTGAAACAGTATTATTTACTGGATGACATCGTTTCGAACACAATTTATTGTTCATAATCATATCAGTTATAATCACAGAACTTCGAATCTTTCGTTTTATAGTTTTCTTAATTCTCTCCTATTTGTCGTAGGGGTGGCAGAATTTTCCAGATGTCCCGGTGGAGAGATTTTGATTCATTCCTATTACATGTATTTGCAGTTGATTCGATAAATAAGGTTTCCGTTATCAATCTCTTCCTCCACCCTGTGACATTAGATTTTAAAACTGTCATCCTATCCCATCCTATTGTATGGTTGTGTGTGACTGCATGTAGTGCTATAGCTGAACTATTCTCTAGATTTTTTATCTTATTCGGGTCAACCAATCTAGATTTTGCTAGGTTTTTATGTTCAGCTAGTCTGACTACCCCTGTTCTACTAGTCTGACCTATGTATTTGACCTGACAATCATTGCAGAGTATGAGATAAACTAAATTGTTTTGTTTTAAAGGCTCCACAGGATCCTTTAACCGACAAAGCTTGTTTCTAATTGAGTTTGTGAGTTTGAATGCCATTTTTATTCCTGCCTTGTTAAGAATTCTGCGTAAGGCTTCCAAGGTTCCTTCCTTGTATGGAATTACTACTGATGATTTAGATTCCCTAATGTTGGTGTTACCATTATCCTGCGCATGTTTGACATGCATGTCGTCATTAATATTATTATTATCACTATCACAACTATTATTATTGATTTTATTTTTACATTTTCCTACATACTTCTGGATTAATTTGTCTGAGTAATTATTAAGTTTCAAGGCTTCTCTTATATGTATCACTTCCTGCCTTAGATTTTCCTTGGTACTACTTAGTTTTTGTGCTCTGTCACTTAAACATTTCACCAGTCCCATTTTTACTGACATAGGATGGGATGATCGGAAGTCCAAATATCTGTTTGAATGTGTGGGTTTCCTGTAAACGCTAGTGTTTAACTTCCCATCTTATTTCCTTTTTAGGTTACAATTTAACATTGGCAGTTCCCCTTTCTGACTTTCCATTTCATTAGTGAATTGAATTGCCTCCACCTTCTAGCTGATGTGTTCGAAAAATCTATTTACGTCCTGCGTTCTAAGTACGATGAATGTATCATCCACATACCTCCACTATAATTTTGGGGTGGGACTGAACGTTTCGATCGCTAAGTTTTCGCACCTGTTCATGAATATGTGTGCCGCTATTGGGGATATTGGCAACCCCATGGCAACTCCCTCAGTTTGTTTGTACATTTTCCCTTTAAATTTAAGTGCTGTGGAAATCAGGTATAGCTGCACTCCGAGCATTATGTGGCACTTTCGTTCTAAGTTCAAGTTCTTGGTCAGAAATGAGTTCGTTTCTGACTACCTTTATAGCCATGTTTATTGGTATACGTATATACAAACTGACAATGTCAAAATCAACCATTTTTTCTTCATTAACTAGTTTTAAATTATCTAATCTATGTTTCAGTTCTTAAGAATTTGTTAGTCTAGATTTTTAGTGGCTTTTAAGGGGATTTAATACCATGGCTAAATATTTGAACAATTCATAAGTGGGTGAATTTCTAAAATCAACTTTAAGTCCAATAAGGTATCCTGACTTATGAACTTTAACAACACCATACATTCTGCTGGGGTTATTAGTTTTGGGCATTAAATTAAACCATTTAGACTCACCTAGAAACGGCTTCATTCGGCGAATAAGGTCCGCTGTGGATTTCTTAACCTTATTCATAACGGTGTCTATTGATTTATTAATTTCCTCATATTGTCCTGTTTGTATGTATGTATTCACCTCCAAATAGTCTGATTTGTCTAATACTACTGTTGCATTTCCTTTGTCTGACTTTGTGATAACTATATCCTTGTTATTCTTAAGGTGTTTTAGGGCTTTTATCTCTGGTTTCGTTATGTTAGGCTTTCCACCTTTTCGTCATTTTAATCTCAGTGCGCATTGTGCCCGTACTCCATCGGCCGTTGTTATGTCTGTTCCACTTAGTGGTATTTCTATTTTAGGGATGACATCCTCAGGTTTCCACTTATCTACAGCTACACTGAAGTTTAATCCCTTTTCTAATACGCTTATTTCTGTGGGAATTAACACAAGTGCTGAGAGATTGATAACCTACATTGTGTTATCAATCGCTGTTGACTTTAAGTTGCTGATCTCATCGTCTTCAGATGAAGATTTTCCCTCCAATGATATACTGGACTTTTTCATTTTTTTTTGACTTTTTCAATGTTTCTGAATTGGCACTGCCAGAGGATTGTATTATTAGGTCGTAATCCTCGTTGGTAACTGTTCCCATTAGTTTTTGCTTCAATTGCTCAATTTCATTTCTGATATTGCTCAACTTTTTAACGATTCTGTGAATCTCTTGTTTTGGGCATAATCTTTGTAGACTTTCTATTCTGGTTCTACCCTTGTCGTTCGGGAATGGAATGTTGAAAATACAATGATTTTCATATCTTGCTTCAGTTTGTGAAGGTCGTGTGAGTTTAATTGATTGCTGTTCAAACAGGCAGACCATGAGTCATATTAATATATGTGCCCAAGTTTAACACATATATTAATATGATTGATTTATAAGTACTCGCTAAAGATTCAATCTGGGGTTTACGCTAGAATTCGTTGTCCAGTCACTGAATTTCGTCCAAGTGGCTGAACGGTAAACGAGCTTGCCTTATAAATTGAAGGTTCTGCATTCAAACATGGATACATGGGGTCAAGTGTACATACTACTGAGGAGTCCTAAACAGGGACGTAAATAGTCCGCTACCTCTTGGTGGTTTTCAGTAGTTCTCTAACTGAAATCACTTTGTCATCAAACTTAAAATCAATCAAAGGCCTGCAACTCAACAGTTTAAAAATTAACTGAAAATTACTGAATGCTATCTCCTTCAAAAATGTTGTCACTTCAGAAGGTATATTTTAGTAGCAATAGTGAGCTTTCACGTATATTGGGGAAACTTTTGATGTGAAATATATGTTTAAGTATATTCAGAGGAAATAATTATACCATACATGTCACCATTCCATTAAATAACAGTTTTTTCACATGATCCTGACAAAATACCAAGTAATAAAGAAAATTACTGAAAGGTATTCCTTCTTTATTAAAAATAAAGGTCCAAATGCACCAACAAATCTCTCTATCCCTCAAATATTACCTAATCAAATCACGTTGAAATGGATCAATCCACCACAGCATCCTGCTTTCAATATCAGTTGTTATCGAATATATAAACGGGAATCAGTCAATGTGATGAATAGTTTATTTGATGAATACCGTGTTTGTGATGTAACGAATGAGTATCAGGTGACATCACTTCTACCCGGTAGACAGTATATATTCTACGTGATGACAGAGGATTCAGTGTATGGCCTGTTGAGCAATGCATCTGAGATGGTTAACGCATATACATATCCTTCTGGTAAGTGTACTTTATAATCTATTTTCATATTTTGTTGGTCATTTCTACTCTTTTGTAATATATTTCTATCATTTAATCTTTATTTGATTACATTTACGAATCATATTATAGGTGCATATATGCATAATTTCTCTCTCCGTGGCTGAATAATTCAATAGGGACGTTTAATTAGTACATATTTAACATCAGTTTACTCGCTCTTTTCACCAGAATACTACACATCTGATGATTAGAATGCAGGATGTTAGACCTTTTATGACGATTTATAAAGACTTAACACTTCAAATTTCATTATTATGCTGTTAAAGTGAGATTTGAGTGTTCATTTTCTGTCAAAATATTGAGTTTATGGCAGATCACTTTCAGAATACGCATTAATTAAAGAGCGACTGAAGAACTAAAATTACTGAAAGTTATCAACCATAAGGCTATCACGGTTTGAGTTCAATAAGATCTCCGTAATTTGATACGGTACTCATCGACGCCAACATAGCCTTCAGGGTTATGTACCGAATTCCAAAGCCATTATCTCGCACAGTTCTCTTACGTGTCCTACATTCAACCGAAGTTATTGCAATAAGATCGATCGAACCGGAACTTTGAATTTAAAAAAAAACACGTTCAGGTGCTGTTCATACCACGACAAAACTTGGCTTAAAATTTTTCTTCTCTCGAGGAGTGCCTTTTTTTCTTTAGCTTTGCTTATCAAGACAATTACTATTATTCGCTATAATTTATATCCCTCATTCATGAATTTTTTTTATTACTATCAAATTTTCCATTTATAGTATTTGGATATCTTATTACTTCAAATTACCTCTTTTCTCACTATGTATCTTCACCTGTTCCATTTCACATGTTGGTTATTTCATGATGACATATTAACCACAGTTACTACCAGTGGATAACTACTCACCAGAATTTATTCAAAAATATATGAAGAATTATAGAAAAACTCAGATTAGCAATAAAAAGAAAATAATATAGAATTCAAAGCCTCTGTAGTAGAGAAGCTTTTAGACAAGTTTATTATAAATATCACACAACGATGCAGTATTAACAGCTGGATGAAATTTTGAGCACAAATTACTGCTCATATTCACATCAATTCTAGTAACATGGTTTCACAGTTTGTCTTCTATATCATTCTCTCTCTATTCTGTCTCTCCAACTTCCTTTTGTTGTTTGTTGTCACTATCCATGTCTCCGGTATATGCGTGGCGTCATTTCGATTGCACGTGTGCAGTGTTGAATCGATAAACAAAGACTCAGTCAGTGATTAACCTCTCTCTCCATCTAACTGTATTACTCTTTTTAATACTCTCACCCTGTCCCACCCACCCTATTTTGTGATTACATGCAAGTCAATACAATGTAATGGCTGGGCTTTTTCTATGGATTGTTGGGAATATAAGGCTCCTAGATAATGATGGAGATATGTGGATGACACATTCACTGTGTTGAGGTCTGAATATATCCCTCATTTTTTGCACATATAAACTCAACAGGAGACGGAATCCATTAACTTCTGCGTTAGAAAACGAACAGGATTAGTTAGCCATGCTAGACTGTGAAATAAAAGAAAAACAAGGTGGTGGGTTAGATATCAGCATTTATTGGAAAACGGCACACTCTAATAAAAACTTAGACTTCAATTCATCCCATCCAGAATCGGTAAAGACAGGTTTACTTAAATGTCTGTGTAATCGTGCCAAGAGCCTAACTAGTAAGCCAGAAGATGAAATCATATGAAAAAAGGAAATATATATAACTAGTGAATAACTATCCACCAGAATTTATTCAAAAATATATGAAGAACCATAGAAAAAATAAGATTAGCATTAAAAATGACGAGAATAGTAGAGAATTCAAAGCCTCTGTAGTACTACCGCATAAAGAAGGAACGTCGTCAGAGGCCTTAAGTAGGATTCTCAATGAAGCAAGAATTATGGTGGCATTTAAACCAACCAACCAACCAATTCTCTCAGAGATAAACAATGTTGGCCTTAAGACCCAATAGATCCAACTAAGAAAAATAGTCTGAATTTACCAAATACCATTCAGTGACTATTATAGACGTAAATTCCAAGGTTCAAACTAGTACATCAGGGTCAACTAGATAATTGGTACATAAAATTTAGCTACATCTAGAATAACTGACCATGCTAAATTAAATAACCTAGAAAAAAGCCCAGCCATTACATTGTATTGACTTGCATGTAATCACAAAATAGGGTGGGTGGGACAGGGTGAGAGTATTAAAAAGAGTAATACAGTTAGATGGAGAGAGAGAGATTAATCACTGACTGATTCTTTGTTTATCGATTCAACACTGCACACGTGCAATCGAAATGACGCCACGCATATACCGGAGACATGGATAGTGACAACAAACAACAAAAGGAAGTTGGAGAGACAGAATAGAGAGAGAATGATATAGAAGACAAACTGTGAAACCATGTTACTAGAATTGATGTGAATATGAGCAGTAATTTGTGCTCAAAATTTCATCCAGCTGTTAATACTGCATCGTTGTGTGATATTTATAATAAACTTACCTAATATTGCATTTACCACAGTATACTGTTTTCTCTTTAATGCCTACCATTTTCTACTAATCACTCTCTTAACATCTTTGAGAACCTTTAACTGATTTATCAGTTTTATTTTCCCACATTGTATGAATCTCTTGTGACTAATTAGCTCCATCGTCTAACATTTCACAATATTTTGTAATTGCATTCAGCCAATCAAGTCTGTCACATAAATACTATTTATTTTATCACTGTATAACTAATGTGTTATTCTACGTAAAAATGTATTCGCCGCATAACTGGCCATTATTGTAACGATAAATATTATATTTAATAATTGGATGAACCCGAATAGAATTTAGTTAATATAATATTCTTCTTTCAGACTGACTTTTAATTTGATATGGGTTGATATGACAAGTACGACTATTAATGGAGCGACTAGGATTCGATTAAGGGAAGTAATTAATAACTCATCTGAAGAACAAATATCAGAACCTATTTCCAATCATTTCTGGCCCTCTTGCACCACACAAATAAAAACAGAATACAGGTTGCTGCGTGTCAGTGAGAACAATCAACCTTCATTATACAAAAATACATTAGATACAAATAGTGCCAATAGATAACTAACCTAACTGTTTGCATAGGGTCGTGCATCAAGGATATCCGGTCACATTATAATAAACATTCTGCTTTAGTCTCAGATCGTGCTACAAATCCATTAAATCTTTGACTGTTTGCGTGAGCCACGTAGGGAGGGGGAGACCGCTAGGCTGGAATGTTTGACACCTTTAGAATCATTGGTTAGAGGAAGTTGGTGATGTGGCTTCAAAATGTTCTCACTAATGCAGATGACTTCAATCTCTGTGATCTTATAGTTTCTGTTATAACTGCACTGAACTGAATAAACCGGTCGTCAATTTGTCATGTCTGCGCCTGCGAATTATTATAACGGTAATGAACTCGACTGGTACCCTAATACGTCTATTTGTCTGTTGTACCTTCCGATTCGCTGAGCCACGGAAATTTCAAAAGACAAAGGCTGGTCTGTTACTGTAAGATAATGTATTGTACATTTATTGGTAATCAAAACATCAATTTATACATTTCTTTACCACAGTAAAGTTGGTTCACAACTTTGAGAGTGGATTATTCTTATTGACTGGAAATATCTATCCTGATTGGTTGAAGATCCAACAAAGACAAAGGCGAGACACAGGTAGATGAATTGATCACACACAAAATCACAATACGCGTGAGAAATGACTGATTCACGTAGTAATTCCATCACAAGATAATCAGACGATTCATGAGAAAGGATAATATACTGTTTCGTGCTGGATCCTATCAGTTCGTGAAATCCCTCATTTGTCTGCACATAACTGCTATTTTTCTTACACTTTTCGCTTTATTGTAATTCCACTGAACATTTTCAGTCTTTATGAAGTGTATAAACTTCAGCTGCTACTTTCTCGTTCAACGTTCCAAAATGCTGCACTCACTCAGTTACTATAATATACTGAGTGAAATTTAAGTCTTTTAAAAAAATCTGAGCATTCGTAAGTGTATTTTATTTAAGTCAGTTTTATTTTTCCCAATGATTGACTGGACCATAATATTTGGCCTCCATCAACATATCGACTTCCAGTATATACGCATCAGCAATCTCTGAAAGGAAACATGCTATTTGGTGGATGGTGACTAGCATTGAAATCCAAAATGCATATTTCGTCCACTGGAGACTAATAAGCTAGATCCATCTGCAGTCCCCAGTAATTAATGGTGTTTGCACTGACACTCAAAACCAACACCCATCGTTTCAAATGCCAACACATCAATAGATGCTGAATATTTCGCTCCGACCATTGGGGGGGGGAACAAAATGCACCTAAACAATTAATAGTTGATACCCGTTGTACAAGAGAAGACCTAAGCAGCCTAGTGGTAACGATGAGTGCCGGGTTGGAGTCTCATTTGAAGCACCATCAATCACTGGAGATGCAGATGCGTCCAGCTGATAAGTTTCAAATAGGACAAAATGAAAATCTCGGTCCTAACTACTGATCACTGTTAATTGCGACAGATACCCGACTTCATGACTACCCACCAATTTATGCGACATGACCTTGTCTATCGTGATTATAATGGGATTATTGGTTATCTGAATGTAAATTCCAACAACTTAAAGTTGACCATGTATGACGATTGTATTCTATCTTCTTAAATGTATGCAATTGTAATTCACTGCCCATTTTGCTCTGAACACCAATAATTTTCGATACGTGTTTGTCCTTCCTTGAATGATAGTTGTTTGTGTATTGATGCCCTTGCGTGACTGTATTATTTCTTTTATATTTCAGAAACAGATAAATTTTTTTACGAGTTTTACGAGTTTTCAATGGTTCTCTAACTGATATCAATTCATGTTCAAACTCGTAAAAACAAATCTAATCCTTACAAACC